CTGGATGTTGGTGTACATCTGTATCTCTGTTAAAATGCAGCTTATCTCTAAACATGAAAATCTAGAAGGGGAGGGAATAATGATAATCCTGAAATTGAATTATTAATGGAAATCTATTAAATATTCTGCTCTGTATTCCATCTCTTATTAACATCACCAAGGACCAATCATCTATGAATCTATGCCCTGAATCCCTCTGTTAAATTTGCAAAGGCTTTTCCTGCTTTAATTAGACAGTATCACAAATGGTCTGGATTCTGAGTTAGGGTTAGGATTAGGATTGGGGTTGGAGTTGGAGGAGGGGTTGAGGTTAGGGTAAGGGGTTGAGGTTAGGGTTAGGATTAGGATTGGGGTGGAGTTGGAGGAGGAGTTGAGGTTAGGGTTGAGGTTAGGGTTAGGGGTTGAGGTTAGGGTTAGGATTATAACTTGTTCCTTCATCATCTTTTTATCTTATAGCGATGGAAAATGAGTCAGTTCCCTTCCCTACTTATGATATCTCCATTGGATGAGACACCAAACAGCTTAAACTGCCAAACCCATGACTAAAACATGCTTTTACTGGATCCCGAAAATACTTCAGAAGGCACCCTCACCTCCTTGGAGCAAATTCGTTCCCTCCACCATGTCCTGCTTCCATTCAAGCTCCTGCGTACAGCGAATCCTGAGCCAGTTGTTGCCATTTGGAATTCCCTCTTTGTGTCTACCTATGGGATTTGCAGGGATAGCCCTGCATTTTGACATTTAGTTTGGATGGTTTGATGGTGTCGGTAATTTGGAGCCGGTGAACCAATCCTTGAATACTTCTCACGAAGGAGTGCCTAACTGAGAGCAGGCCTCCATTTAATAAAGGTGGGGGGGGCGGGATCTCATAGAAACATTTACATCCTGATGGGACTGGACAGGCTAGATGTGGGAAGAATGTTTCCAATGTTGGGGAAGTCCAGAACTAGGGGTCACGGCCTAAGAATAAGGGGTAAGCCATTCAGGGCTGAGATGAGGAAGAATATCTTCACTCAGAGAGTTGTGAACCTGTGGAATTCTCTTCCACAGGAAGTTGTTGAGGCCAGTTCATTAGACATATTCAAGAGGGAGCTGGACATGGTCCTTGTGGCTAAAGGGATCAAAGAGTAGAGAGAGAAAGCGGGAGTGGGATACAGTGATTTCATGGTCAGCCATGATCAGATTGAATGATGGTGCAGGCTTAAAGGGCTGAATGGCCTACTCCTGCACTTATTTTCTATTTTTAAACTTGCTATCCATCGCTAGGTGCCCTGTTGTCTATTGAATCTCAGTTTAAGTGTCTGAACCCTATGCTTTCTCAAAGTGAAAGCCTGCCATAGACCTCCCTTTTTGAGAGCTAAATGCTATTCAACAACAGCTTTTTCATAGAATCCCTGTAGTGTGGAAGCAGGCCATTCGGCTCATCAAGTCCACACCAACCTTCCAAAGAACATCCCACCCTGATCCACCCAATCCCTGCATTTCCCATGGCTAATCCACTGAGCCTGCACATCCCTGGACACTATGGCCAATCCACCTGACCTGCATATCTTTGGACTGTGGGAAGAAACCCACACAGACAGTCACCCAAGGGTAGGATCGAACTTGGGTCCCTCGTGCTGTGATGCAGCAGTGCTAACCACTGAGCCACCCTCTGAATCTGCGAATCTGTTGCCTGGTACAAGGACTGTTTGCACTGAGTTGAGTTAAGAGTTTGTACAATAAGTTTGACCAGCCGTATATATTCTGATTGATGTTCTTTGGAAGAGCCCTCATGAACAATATCATTTATTCAGATGTTCAAGCTGCAGAACTACTTAAACATAATGAGAAAAAAGGCACAGATGCCCTGGCCCATCACTGTTTGTTTAATGAGGACCTACTTATCAACTGGAGTTAATCAATGAGAGACATTTCACAAGATTGTCCATCACTCACACACTGTAACGAAGCCTGTTAGTTTTACAAGTGCAGATGCACAGGAGTTACCGCCCAATTAAAAAGAACTGAACTGAGCTGGAAATAAGGCTTCTTACATCCTTGCGTTTTTCTTTTATTCATTTTCTAATGGGTGTCATTGTCTGGGCCAGCATTTATTGACCCTGTCCCCGGTCACCCCTTGAGAAGTTGTTGGTGAGCTGCCTTCTTGAACCACTGCAGTCCACCTGCTATGGGTTGACCCATAATGCCCTTAGGAAGGGAATTCCAGGATTTTGACCCAGCGACAGCGAAGGAATGGTGATATATTTCCAAGTCAGAATGGTGAGTGGCTTGGAGGGGAACTTGCAGGTGGTGGTGTTCCCATGTATCTGCTGCCCTTGTCCTTCTAGATGGAAGTGGGTTGTGGGTTTGGAAGGTGCTGCCTGAGGATCTTTGGTGAATTTCTGCAGGGCATCTTGTAGATGGTACACACTGCTGCAACTGAGCGTCGGTGGGGGAGGGAGTGGGATGTTTGTGGATGTGGAACCAATCAAGTGGGGGTTGCTTTGTCCTGGATGATGTTGAGCTTCTTGAGTGTTGTTGGAGCTGCCCCCATCCAGGCAAGTGGGGAGTATTCTATCATGCTCCTATGATCTGTACGTCCTTGCTTACTATGATCTGCCTGTACTGCTCACGGATAAAGCTTTTCACTGTAATTAGGTACATGTGACAATAAATCAAATCAATTGATCAATCTTATTGGTGATGTTCATATTCTGGCATTTGGTGGTGTGAATGTTGCCATGCAATGGTGATTCCAGGATTCCAGTCGGTGAGCTGGGATCACTAACTCAATTTCGCTTCCTTAAAGCAAACTAGATGTCTCATCATTAAAGATAACAAGATGTAGAGCTGGATGAACACAGCAGGCCAAGCAGCATCAGAGGAGCAGGAAAGCTGAC